CTACTGAAAACAGATTCCTGGGAAACATTTTGAAAAATGTGAGTTCAATAAGACCCCATACAATTCCTGTCATCAGTGGAATCAGAAAAAGCCCTCAATCACTCATCAGAGGGTTGGCATGAGGACCAAGCCTCTTTTTACTGAACATCCCAGGAGCTCAGGACATGTAGAATTGTCTCAGGTGATGATGAGATTTCATAGGAGCCCATGGATCCTGCAGGACACCCGTGTGCAGTGACAGCAGTACTCTTCTCAGAGTCATTCAAGGGCTATGCCTGAGGGGATAATGATGAAGTGACAGTAAGTGGGAGCATGTGCCAGGGTGTAACTGTGTGTTACTGTGTGTGTGAATTTGTGTGTCTGAAAGTGAGTGTGGGTGTGATTGTGAGTGTGTGTGATTGTTTGTGTGACACAGCTCCTTCAGCCATTTCCATTTTGTCTGCAAACATTCGCTGTGATGTTTAGGTTATCTTAGAAATCAAGGAACTAGATCCACCTGCTTCAGAAAATGGATGGAGTGTCAGAGTCATTTAAAATGGAAGGGAGACGCATTTTGCAGACTCTGTGAAAGTTCCACCACCATCTGCAGACACAAGAGCAACACACTCTGCAGCAGCAAATGAACAGCCCGAGAGGCAAAAGTATGCTCTCTGGGAGATGTAGGATTGTGTGGGTGCTCTTACACAGAACTCACTCTGGGAGAACAGAGGGCTTTGCTTACAGGGGTGCACATAACCCATGTGCACATGGGAACAACTGTTTCCTTAACATCATGAGAAACGACCTCCTTTGATTTTCACTCTTTTTTCCAACAAGTGTCCTCATGACAGTGTTTTTTATGTTGTTTTACTATTCCCATCTCTATGCCCATGACCAGCCATTGGCCTCCATATTTCCCTCCATGCCACTCCACAGAAGGAAGATTGGGCAATCTATTTGGGAATATACTTCTGTAGAGATACCTCCTCATAAACCCAAGGAAGCGTTGCTGTGAGTCTGAAATAACTCCACGGCGGTGAGTACCACAATCCTAGTGCTCAGAATGTAGGGGAAGTGCATACACTTCATGTCGCCAAGGAAAGCAGTCATCTTGTCTACCTTCCTCCACTTACAATGCGATCCCCATCCATCTCCTTGCCCTCATGAGACATTCGGAGGTTCATATTCCAACACTCTTGTTTAATGCGCTGTACCTAACTCATTGTTGTAAATACATGCCTCTCTGTCTCTCTCTAGCTCTCTCTCCCTCTCTTTTTAATTAGGTATTTTTTCCTTCAAATATATTTTGAGAAATTCAAATTTCTGTGATGGAGAATGTTGGAGAAATAATTAAGAGAGAGAGAGAAGGCTGTTCAGATACTATCTTCTCTTCGTCCCCAGCATCAATTCAGTAAATCTGAGACCCAGAAGCTGAGCAATTGTCCAAAGCCGAATTGCAGCTCTTTGCATCAGGAGCAGAGAACACAGTGTGCTGGTCTAGTTCGTGCTCATGGACAAATGTGAGTATGGTGGATATTAGCTCACGGTGTACCTTCCTGGGGTCCAAGTTTAGTGTTGAAAGTGTGCCTCCAAAATATTCAAGGTTATCTACCAGGTGTTCCAATACTGGCTGACCTTCTCCCGATACAATTTTCAGGTCTAGGCTTCCCATCTGGCCTGGTGGGATCTCTATCTCAAAAGAAGGGAAGCAGGGCACTAGCACAAAGCTGATGTCTCACTCACTGTAGGAAGATCCACATGACCTCACCATTCTGGAAAATTTCATAGAATTGGCTAGGACCAATCATATTCTGGCAGGTACAAAAATAAATAAATAAAACACCATGACTGAGTGGATAAACTAGTCCCAGGTGAGTCCACCTGAATAGTGACCATGACAGAGGTGGGGAGGGAGCTGAGGAACCTCATGAAGTCCCCTCAAGGCCAACACCCACAGCAGTTGGGCAGGGTGGGGAAGCTCCTCAGATCGGCACTGTGAGGACTAATCAGATCTTAAAATCAGGTTTTACACGGATATTGTTATGAATTCAATCCCGTCCTCCCAAAGGATATGCTGAAGAACTTCTGTTCTGTTGATTGTGACATCAGTAGGATGTCAGGTCCACCTTTGAAGATGTTATCAATTAGGTAACTGGGGCATAATTGTGTAGGATGGATCCTAATCATGTCTGAGTGATGTCATATACAAGTAGAAAACTGACACAGAGAAAAAAGCACCCAGGTTTAGACCATAAGAAGGTGCATCTAAAAGCCAAGGATACGTAAGAAATGTCTGGGGCAACCAGAGGCTGCAGATGACCAGGAAAGGTCTTCTCCAAGAGAAGACAGGGCAACAAGAGTCCCTTGAAGCACTGGTGTGGACTTCCAGCCTTCAGAACTGTGAGGAAATCCATTTCTGCTTTGAAAGCCAGCCACACTTTTTTGGTATTTTGTAACAGTGCTCACAGGAACCTAAGACCATCGTCAATAATTATGGGCACACGGAACAATCTCCATATAAAGGCATCTGGGAGGGCGATCGTTCACTTGACTCCCCCATCGTCCAGTGTGCTGGATGCTATCAGGACCATTCTGTAGGGGGAGGAGCACCTGGGAGGGCGAGAGTCCTGCCCACAATTATGTCATCACTCATGCTGAGCTTCGATGGGACCCCAGACCTCTGTGCCAGAGATGCTGTTCCAACTATGTCCTCCAGATGGCGCTGAGTGTGAAGTGAGGATAGAGAAAGAGGGTGAGCCCTTCAGAGGATGTACTGAGGGATGAGAGAAGGATCAAACATTTCTCTATCCTCCAGGGTGTCCCATGCAATCAGAATTTATGCCACATCGTCGGATGTCTCTGCTCTATGGCCAGCAGTTTCTATGATCCTTAGCAGAGGGTCCTTGCATACCCCATCCCTGGGGAGTGGGTCAGGCTTTCTCCTTCTACTGTCTGAGATGAGACTAGAGAGTGTTCTGACACTGCCCTGTTTTATACCTGGGATTT